GTTGCGGGGGCAGGAGGGCCGGGGGTGCTGGTTTTCACCCGGGCTGGGCGTTGCTGAGCCGGTGCCAGCAACCACGGTGGAAATGAGCCCGTTCCCCCGTGTCCCATCTCTCTGTCCCCGTGTCCCCACGCCCCGGCCACGCAGCATCCCCCCCCGCGCAGGTGGGAGACGGGAGGAAAGGCAGACAGCCCGGACTCTGGAGCAAAAATAGAGTTTATTTCCATTTTTACTGCATATAAAAAAAAATAGCATGTATTTCTCTGGAGCTCACCCAGCTGCAGCAATAAATACAGTACAAAACACACCGCTCGAGAGCCCCTGCCGGGGCAGGCTGTGAAATTTCCGGAACACAAATACGGCTAAAAAGCGTGCCCGCGAGACCCCCGCCGACCCAGCCACGAGAGCGGGGGCTGTGCCGGGGCTGTGCCGGGCTCGGGGCGGAAAGGACTGCGTCCCGCCGGGCCCCGCTCGCTGCGGCAGCGTGGAGCTGCTCCCCCGGGCCAGGAGATGGGTGCAAATAAGTTAAACTGCAATAAATACACTGAGTTTAGCAGAGAAGGGGGACGGGCGCTGGCAGAGCGAAGCCGCAGCCCCCCAAAGGCGCTGGGGCTCCCCTGGAAAAGCCTCATCCTGGGAGGCTGCTGTATCCCTACGGCACCTCCGTCCTCCTCTCCCTCCTCCTTACCTAATGCCTAATAAATATTAATTAATATAACTATGCCTAATAGAAGTAACACCTCTCAGATCTGTCCCTGCAGGCTGCAGCCCAGGCAGGGAGATGCTGCTCTGAAGCATCTTCATCCACGGATGAAGACGGTTTCCCCTTGGCCAGGTGGGATGCTGCAGGGGTTACGGCACCTCCGTCCTCCTCTCCCTCCTCCTTACCTAATGCCTAATAAATATTAATTAATATAACTATGCCTAATAGAAGTAACACCTCTCAGATCTGTCCCTGCAGGCTGCAGCCCAGGCAGGGAGATGCTGCTCTGAAGCATCTTCATCCACGGATGAAGACGGTTTCCCCTTGGCCAGGTGGGATGCTGCAGGGGTACCCGCAGTGCCCTGTGCGAGCCGTGGGGAAACCGGGGCGGTGCCCACGGCAGCTGCGGGGGCTCAGCCCAGCTCCTGAACCTCGTAGCAGAGATACGCTTTTGTTTAAATATTAAACAAGGGTGATGCTGCGCACAGATACCCGTGCACGGATGCCACCGCAGGGCCGGCCGCCCTGCTCGGGGGCCGATGGGCGGGGGAGCACCCCCAGCCAGATAAATATTAAATAGCGATAAATATTAAATAAGCGGAAAAGCTGGGCGCTTCCGGGGAAGGTCGCTCAGGCTGGGACATAAATAAATAGGGTGCGGTGGTGCGGGGACCGGGTGTCAGAGGCGGGGGGGGGGGCGGCGGGCGAGGTGCCGCAGCGCCCGGTACGCCGTCTCCAGGAACCGCTGGAAGTTGGCCAGGATGAAGAAGCCGCCGACCTGGTGGTGGAAACTGGAGGAGAAGGTGGGGAGGGGGCCCGGGCCCTCCGTGGGGTACGTCACCGTGGCCAGGCCCAGGTCCTCCATCTGCAGCCGGACAGAGGCAGAGGCATCAGCTCCAGACCCAGAGACGCCCCAGGAGCGCGGCAGCATCCCGGCGGTGCC